TATTCTTCCGGCATTTAAAATGTTCTGTCAAAGTGGTCTGAAATGTTACGGCTTTAAAACTACATCTTCAGAGCACATGGACTTTCGTTCACTTAATTTGAAAAATCGATGCCGACTACATTCGAACGAATTTTAACTTTGATATACAGGTACGGAATCTAGCAAATATGCAAAATGTGTATGCTATATGCGGCATATTACACAGCATGGCGTTGGAATGTGAGAGACCGATGCCAATTATCTTGAGAAATATTCTGTTCCAGTGGCTGACCGCCACGGATTTAAAATTATCACATAAAAAAGACCTTGAAAAAAGACCTTGAAAAGCCACTTTAAAAGACAGCTGCATTGGATTGGGCCAGATCATGCACATCAGCCTGTATCATCTGCTACTAAGATAAAACATTCACACCGTGAATGTAACCGAATGACGCAGAAATCGCCGTTATGACTCAGGTAATTCTAGTTTGATTTGCGCAAAGCTGGGACACGGTCAGCATAACAATAAATGTGAAAGACTTCAAAACATGTTCCGAAATAGAGCCGGAAACGAATTTTTCACCTCTGAAGCTTCACCAAAGTCCACCCGCTGCTGGAAATATTGGACATTAGTGGAATCTCAGCGGATGATACGCCTTTCGTAAGAGAAAACATCAATCTTTAAGCATCGATTTCGGAGATCTTACATGCTCTATTGTGGTTTCGCTTTTTAGACTGTTGTCGGAATGTTCGACTTGAGTCGTCACTGATCATGCATGATTAGCCGAAGCCATAGAGAGAGAAAATTGACTAGAGAGCGGCAATACGTGGACGTTAAAAAACTGGGAGCGTGCTATAACGCTGACATTTTTGCAAGCTTTTCTCCTTCGTGAATTTGAATCTTCATGCGAATGAAAAGAAGGTAGGGTTACATTCTTAAAACCATTGCATTATGGAGGATGCGACACTCAAAAGCTAGGCAAATGGCAGCGACCAGAGTACCGATTTGCCGCAAAAACGGGCGTCGCTTCACCAAACTTATTATTACTTGTTCTCACCGGCGCCCCGCACGTTGGGCAACGTGACTCCGGGATCCTCCGCTTGGCGGCGCTGCTGGCGGATGAGCTCAAGCACGGTCGGCCGCAGCTGCGAGGGGGCGGGGCCTCGTGCCGTCACATCCCGACCTCGACCGGACAGGCCCGGACCGGAGTTCCCTGCTGCCCGTCCAGCAGCCGGTGTCTTGGACCGGGATGGGGGCTGCTGCTTACTCCTGAAACCGCCGGCGTCATGTAGGCTACGCGGTGGCACTGAGCATTGAGGAGGGAGGCGCAGCTATATAACGTCTGCACAGGCCGGGCAAATCCATGGCCATCCACATGTTGTTTCGAGCGAGACCACAGGCAGAGTGAGTCAAACGTGAGCCATTTATCATGACATTTTTGTCTTATGCGCTACGCCTCAGCCAGGTCTGACTGCACGCTTTCTAGAAGCAAATATCCTTCGGCCTTTGATTACATGTTTCCACCGGTGGCAGTGGCCGGCTATGGGATGCTTGTCCAGGGTTCTCGACCCACGTCGTCGTGCACACTTTCATAGAGCACCAACGACTGCACGGATAATATAAGCGCTTACAGGTCATGGCTCTACCGGCACTCAAGCCCTGGTCCCCAGGTGGGAGCGGAAGGTGCAAACTATTCGACCATTACACCCCGACCTGGTGGCAACGAAGCTTTGTTGTCAGGTGTCGGACCCTATTTCGTTCATTTGGCCTCCTAACGGCACATCATTGAAGGCGCCAGGCCTGTCAGAAACATGACGGCGAACGTAAGGCAGCGTTGAAAACTACCCATAATCACTGTCGCAGAGTGTGATCGTGTGCATTTGGTAGCACACTTGTACCTTACAGAGCTATCAGCTGACACTGCAACAATGCTGTCGGCCGACGGTATTCAATATATTGGTTTGACTACCCGGCTTAGTTTTGGCACTATGCTAATGATGACATATCACCACTGTAATGTTTTTATTGCTTCGCTCATTCCACGCTGAAGAATGCGTATTATCGGTAGATAACGGGTGGATAAGGCAGACCCCTACGAAAACTTGGCATGTATGCGATCTGGCATGGGTGTGGACTGAGAGATGTTGGTAAAATATGTAACAAATGACATGCAAGATTACTTCTTCTGCATTACACATACGAATCCAGATGACCCTATCATTATGGCTTCTGCGCTTATCTGTGCAAACTTAGCAAAACTAGGCGTAAGCTTTTAGAATCTCCTAGAATTAACGACAACAAACTTGGAAATGGTAATCAAGCGGAAAACGGGTGACTGGGACTGATAAATAATAAACAGCGTTAAGTACTTCGCACGGCCAGTAAGCTGCTGGTGGTGGGTTGGCCTGGCGCGGAAGAGTCCTGGTCATAAATACGCATACGGAAAACAAAGTTCATCGCGTGTTTTTTTCTCGTCATTTTTTTCTTCTTCTGGTGACGCAGATATGCATACCTCAATGCTTTTTGTAAAAAAGCGTTCATGTGGTGGACCATCGGCGCTGGGTACGATTTCTAGGACGGGTGCGTTGGGTGGCCAGACTGGTATGAAAAGGTCAGTTGTAACCAGCCGACGAAGGCCAGCCTAGCCCGCGGTGGACATGTCGTGGCACTGCACGACGCGCACACCCCTGCAGCGCTCTCCACAGAAAAGGCCGCGGCAAAATTACCAGATGCCTGATACAAGAAGGGTAATGTCTTGAGGGTATACACAGCAAGCTCTACTTAAGGGGGCATTTTGAAGCGCAAAACCACCCATGCAAACCACTCGAAAAATGTTGCTTGAAACCGAGTGCATGGGACTTTATGTGGTTCGGGGTGCTTCCCAAGCAAAGCATGTTGCGTAAACCCGGAATGCGTCACCCAAATCGTGCCATTCAGTTCAACGGATAACTTGGCCTTAACCATTTCGCGAGAGAGGAGTGCAGCAGCGTGCCGCACACAGCGCGACACACTGCCGTCCCCATAATGATGCGACGCGGCCGCCCAAGGACGTGCCACATAATGATGCGACGCGGCCAGCCAATGGCGTGCCACATATTGATGCGACGCGGCCAGCCAAGGACGTGCCACATGATGATGCGACGCGGCCAGCCAAGGACGTGCCACATATTGATGCGACGCGGCCAGCCAAGGGCGTACCACATAATGATGCGACGCGGCCAGCCAAGGACGTGCCACATAATGATGCGACGCGGCCAGCCAAGGACGTGCCACATGATGATGCGACGCGGCCAGCCAAGGACGTGCCACATATTGATGCGACGCGGCCAGCCAAGGACGTACCACATAATGATGCGACGCGGCCAGCCAAGGACGTGCCACATAATGATGCGACGCGGCCAGCCAAGGACGTACCACATAATGATGCGACGCGGCCAGCCAAGGACGTGCCACATATTGATGCGACGCGGCCAGCCAAGGACGTGCCACATGATGATGCGACGCGGCCAGCCAAGGACGTGCCACATATTGATACGACGCGGCCAGCCAAGGACGTACCACATAATGATGCGACGCTGCCAGCCAAGGACGTGCCACATAATGATGCGACGCGGCCAGCCAAGGACGTACCACATAATGATGCGACGCGGCCAGCCAAGGACGTGCCACATAATGATGCGACGCGGCCAGCCAAGGACGTGCCACAAAATGATGCGACGCGGCCAGCCAAGGACGTGCCACATAATGATAAGACGCGGCCAGCCAATGGCGTGCCACATGATGATGCGACGCGGTCATCCAAGGACGCGCCATACAGTGATGCGACGCGGCCAGCCAAGGACCTGCCACACAATGACACGACACGGCCGTCCAAAGCGACGCGGTGATCCTAGCTGATCACCTTCCACTTGACCTTTTCATGCCAGTAAGGGCAAGCAATGCACCGTCTCTGGCACCCGCACCCAGCGCCGGTGAATACCCAGTCCGCCATGGCTCCCCCCCCCCCCCCCCCCCGGTCACGAAGGCGGCATTGTCAGATGGAACTCAGCAGAACCAAAACAGTCCTCACTTCACAAATTTACAATCAAAGCAGCCGTAACAGTTTGCTGTGTGCGGTACCTGCCAAGGCCGAGGATGCTCCATCCGGCCAGACCGTCCTTGACCCAGCTGTATGACGTCACTGGCACTGCGGCTGGCTGACCAATGGGCGGGATCGGGGCCGGGCCGGCGGCGCTGCCTACCGTCTGACGGGCGTCCGGTCGGCGGGCGGGCCTGGGGACCGGCGGCGGTGGGGTCAAGCACCATCCACAGAGGACCGGCGGCGGCAGGGTCACACACCATCCACAGAGGACCAGCGGCGGAAGGGTCACACACCATCCACAGAGGACCGGCGGCGGCAGGGTCACACACCATCCACAGAGGACCAGCGGCGGCAGGGTCACACACCATCCACGGAGGACCGGCAACGGTGGGGTCACACACCATTCAGGGAAAGAGAGCGAAGACCACGCCTGTGACAATGAGAGATCATGTGGCGGAAGCGGAACACGCACGTTGTCATATCCCAGCACATATTTTGCTTACGTAACACGTTATATAGATAGACGTAGAGAGAAATATAGGAAGATAATCTTTCTGCAATGCTATGCACAGAACTTGAAATAAAAGGCAGCGAATGCAAACCATCCGCTACTCACTTTTCTTCGTTTTCTTTGCCGTTGGAAAGCTTGCTATCGATTTTCTTCTTAAAGAGCGAGATATTGCCGAGTTTTCGTCGATGCGTAGTTGTTGAAAACTCCTAGACAGTGCGAACAATTGTCAGAAAAAATCAGGCGTTGACAGTGTGTCTGCGTTTCAACCGTTGCTATCAGCTCATTTCTCCAGTGTTGTCTACCTATAATAAGATGTTTGCCATTAAGGGCCTGTCCCTGAATACAACCAAATTCTTGCTGAATCTAGGTTTATTTTGCAATTCAAACGTCGTATGTTGCGCGGGCGCATCCACTGGAACCTCCTTGATTCAAAAATACCTGCTGTATTCTTCTGGTGATCTCGTCCATGTGTCTGTCGGCGAACTGGTCGTGTGTGAAGTATTCATGCTGGACGAGAACGGCACAGTCTGGCCGCTGGCAAGGGTCCATCTCTAAACAAGCCTGCAAACCAGCCAGAGATCACCTAGCATCAGAATGGCCGGGGTTTATACCTAGACAGGGCTGCAAACCAGCTGGAGGTCACCGAGCCATCAGAAGGGTCGGGGGTCGTCTCTAGATAGATCTGCAGGCCAGCCAGAGGTCACGCAGCATCAGAAAGGCCGGGTTCATTTCTAGACAAGCCTACAGGTCAGCCAGCGGTCACTGGATCATTAGACGTGTGCGTGACGGTGGCTCAAGGGAGGTAATCATCCCGGCTCAAGCTGGCCATGTTAGTGTTCAGATCAATACGGTCGAACGGCCACAGGCAGGGCTCTTCCGTCACTAATGTTGATATTGGGTCAGAACATATCACAGAGGTAAAGCCACATAGATCCAGCCCGGCGGCGTTGAATTATTCCGACTCTGCAGTCCCCTTATATTATTGATATGCCGATGATGGACAACAGTTGACAATGCAATTCCAAATGAAACTGCTGGGTCTTTATTGACGATTTTAGATCGCTGAGCTGCTGTATTTGCATAAGTACCGATTTTCTGGCAAACCAACTGAAAAATGTGCTCTACTGCGGCGGCCGCGTACTGTCCATTCGGTTGGTGGAATCACCCCAGCTCGCCTGAGGGCAGCGGTCTTTCGGATCGTACTGTGCTCCAGCAGCTACAAACAGCTGCATCTACCAGCTGCACAAAGCTGGGCATATTCATCATTTATCGCCGCCATGAGAATCGTAGCTGTGTTTTTGCCATGGAAGCCATCTTTGTGTGCATTTTGCCCATGGTGTCGGCGGCGTGAGCAGCCACCAGCCGGAGCCGATAGAAATGACGTGCGTACATACGCGCATGTTGTGTGGGGATGCTCTCGTGTGTGCTCGTGTTTACTTGAAGGGACCTCAGTTATCATGCCTCACCGTGGTTACAACACGCCGCCTGACGCTTTTTCAGTCAGTTTGCCAAGACCGACGCCACTTTAAGCGTTTTAGTCATTTTGTGACGCACGCTTGAACCCCTCTTTGACAACCTGTTGACGAAAGCATTATTGTTTTGACAAAACATAAAATCCCGGAACGTCGGGAAAAAGCCGCAGCCGCAAACTAGCAATGATCTTTTCGTCGATAAAAATCGCCGTCACCAGACGAGATATGACAGCTTTCTATCACCTACCGAGTGGACAATGGGCGGCCGCATCTTAACTTTCGCATGCTCTGGTCATATTGCTAGCTGGAGCCCAACGCCTCTCATAATGATCGTGCTCATAATGCTCTCCCCCATAAATATTCCATAACATTTATTGCTGCCAGGCGCTTGCAGTTTACGGCGTGATATTTCTACGGAGTTTTCTTCGCCGTGGCCACTATGGGCAATTAGCGAGCGATCATCGTGCATCAGTAGTATTGGTATCGCGGCGCATTTCTAATGTCAAGCCGTTATGGTATAGTAATTCAGAGTCCCATTACTGAAATGGAAAAATTCCATTATTTTGCAATGGAAGGCACCACGTACCAATCACCACATGAAACCTGCTGTATGTACCATAAGGCTCTCCACATTATAAACTGATAATAAAAGGGAAAATCAAGCGCTGCAGGGGCTACTCCTCAACTCATAAAAGTCTCAATTACTCTCACTATGACAAATTAAACTTGCTATATGAACCATAAGGCTCTCCTCATTATAAAATGATAATACAAAGGGAAATAAATTGTTGCAAGGCCTACTCCTCAACTCATGCACGTCTCAGTTACTCTCACTACATTGACTTAAACAACATTTTCGGAGTTAAGACGGAACCCGATCGAACGTTGCCGTGTCAGATGCAAAAACAACATCTGCTGTTGATACACGTTCCGGTCTTCAACGTGATTGGTGGCGAACAGTCAATGCGGGCAGAGGAGGCAGCGCAAACGAACCATTGAGCGTGATTGATAGTTTTTGCTTCTGCTTCTGGAAGCAGGTGAAAGGGGGGGGGGGGGTTCACTAGCTAACTTTGGGAAGCTTAGGTATTTTGACATTTTGTTTGCAGCCTCCTTGAACACATTTTAACGAGGTTATGTTAGCTATCATGCTGCTGTTGCCTTTTGACAGCGAAATAGCCTGTTGATCATCCCTTCCCGATAAGTTTCAGACTCGACCTCAGGGAAGGTGAGGTCGGAAGTGGATTCTGATAAAAATAAAAACAATGAACTGATGCGATGCAATGGAGCGAATGACAAGTTTATTCCGCTCTATTCGAATTCTGTGAATCGGAGTCCCCAGCCACAGTGAGCTACTTCTGTACCGGTGAGTACCGAATTACCGATAGCCGTTCACCGCAGCTCAACACACTCTCTCCAAACGTTCACCGCAGTATTATCGGACATGTACCGGACTATGATCAAACCTTCCCAGGACTATCATCGGACGCCCAACAGACTATCATCGGACGCCCAACAGACTATCATCGGACGCCCAACAGACTACCATCGGACACCCAACAGACTATCATCGGACGCCCAACAGACTACCGCCGGACGCCCACCAGACTATCATCGGACGCCCAACAGACTACCATCGGACGCCAACAGACTACCGTCGGACGCCCAACAGGCTATCATCGGACGCCCAACAGACTACCATCGGACGCCCAACAGACTACCATCGGACGCCCAACAGACTACCGTCGGACGCCCAACAGACTATCATCGGACGCCCAACAGACTACCATCGGACGCCCAACGGACTATCGTCAGACGTTCACCAGACTGCCGTCGGACGCCCAACAGGCTATCGTCAGACGTTCATCAGACTATCATCGGACGTTCACCAGACTGCCGTCGGACGCCCAACAGACTATCGTCGGACGCCCAACGGACTATCGTCAGACGTTCACCAGACTGCCGTCGGACGCCCAACAGGCTATCGTCGGACGTTCATCAGACTATCATCGGACGTTCACCAGACTGCCGTCGGACGCCCAACAGACTATCGTCGGACGCCCAACAGACTATCATCGGACGCCCAACAGACTACCATCGGACGCCCAACGGACTATCGTCAGACGTTCACCAGACTGCCGTCGGACGCCCAACAGGCTATCGTCGGACGTTCATCAGACTATCATCGGACGTTCACCAGACTGCCGTCGGACGCCCAACAGACTATCGTCGGACGCCCAACAAACTACCATTGGACGTCCATCAGACTATGATCGGACGTTCACAAGACTGCCGTCGGGTGTTCCGTAGCTGCTCTCACCTGCAGCAGCTGCAGCTGATGTGGTGGCCAGTTCGGGAACTTGTTGGCGAACAGGGGCCGGCCGGCTCCCCTCAGCCGCAGGCCGTGAGCGGCAGCTCTGTAGCCGGCTCGAGCCACGTGGGCTGGACACAGCGGCCCTGCGTACAGTCACGGCCAACGTGAACAGAGCCTGCTGAGAGGTGGTGAACAGAGTGCTGGGGCAGGGGAGGTGGACAGGGCCTGGGGGTTGGGAAAGGGAGGTGAACATGGCCTGGGGGTTGGGAAGGGAGGTGAACAGGGCCTGGGGGCTTTGACATGGGAGGTGAACAGGGCCAGGGGAGCTGGGGAGGGGAGGTGAACAGGGCCTGGAAACTGGCGCAGGAGAGGTGAACAGGGTCTAGGGACGAGCGCAGGGGGTGTAAAAATGGCTTGGGACGGACACGGAACAGGGCGTGAACAGGACCCGGGAACTGGTGGTGGTTCGTGCAAAAGACATGGAAAGAGGCCCAGGGAAAGTGAGCAGAGCAGGAGTACGAGTGCACAGCGAGTGCTTCCGCCAAAAGTACGAGCATACAGCACGTGCTTCGGGCACGAGTGAGAGTACGCGGCACGCCGTAGTTTGGACACGGGTGCGAAAAGTTCAGGGGCATAAACAATGCACAGAAACAGATATGATGACTCGGATATAAGGACGCTGGCCATAAGCATAATTGCTCAAAGAAATACGCCGTGGACAAGAACAAACACTGAGGGCGATATATCGGTATGCGTAAGACGTTTTTGGTTCATTCCCAACTTTGGGTCTGTCATTTATGGGGACGGGCTTTTACGGATATGCTCCCGCGCATTTCACAGGATCTGCTACTGACCCACGTAACACAGAAAATAAATCATGGACGGTTGGTTAGACACGCTCTGGCTGGTTATGCTGCCCTGATTCATTCCGGGACTTAACTTTCGCAATGTGGGAGCCGGAGATATTAGGTCGTGGCGCTTAATATGTGCCACGACTTAAGCGGCACATTTTAAGCGGCTCACATAAATCGTTACACGGCGCCGATGGCATGTCCAGGGACATCCGGCCGCATTCCAAGGCACCAACAGGTGTCAGAACCGCACGCCGCCACCGCCGCCCCCGCGGGGCGGGCACCGTTTGCCGGACCCGCAGTGCGCCAGTGTGATGCGGCGCAGTCCAAGCTCTATTGTTTCTGACTAATCACGCCTCATCGCAGTTCTCGATGCCGTGTGCGCAGGTGGCGGGCATCTGGGGCCATGGCCACATCAACAGCGTGCGCTGGCGTGGCGAAAAGACGGGCCTCCCGAAGTCGCTCGGAGCGGCCCAGGCAATCATTGCCTACCGTTCCCAAATCACCGGCGATCCGTTTTCGGAAGCAAGTCAGCTGGCAAGCAGTACGGCCGAAGCAGCCGCTTCGCAGCCGCCTCCGCTGGGCCCGCCGCTTCGCAGCCACATGTGCTGAATGAAGCCCGTCGCGGCGCGCGGGGCGCTGGTGTGCGAGGACCCGTGAAAAGCGGGCGCGAAGTGACGCGCCGCGGCGACGGCGCCGGCCGGCCGCCAGAGCGGAAAATGGCGGGTCCCGGTGCGGCCCGACCCGACGAGGCGTGACGGCCGGCGGGCCCGACCAGCAGCGCGCCAGTCCAGCCAGTCAATACACAGCGGCACAGGGCGGTGGCGATCACGCGCGCCGGGCTCTGTACCGGCCCGCCGGGCTCTGTACCTGCCCGGCAGGCTCTGTACCGGCCCGGCAGGCTCTGTACCGGCCCGCCAGGCTCTGTACCGGCCCGGCGGGCCCTGTACCAGCCCGTCCCCCGGGGCTATGGACCGGCCCGCCGGGCCCTGGACGGGTCCGCCGGGCTCTGCACCGGCCCGTCCCCCCGAGCCCTGGACGGGTCCGCCGGGCTCTGTACCGTCCCGCTAGCTAGATTATCAGTGCCCGAGACATGCCCAGGTGGCTAGATCATCAGTGCCAGAGACAAGCCCAGGTGGCTAGATCATTAGCACCAGAGACAATCCCAGGCAGCTAGATCATCAGTGTCAGAGACAAGCCCAGATGCAACAAAACGAGGTGGTGGGCGTTTGGCCAAATAACTAGATGTGTATCTACCTATCTAGGTTTATCTGTGTTTCAATTAAAGCAGGCTTATGCATTATTCACGCCGAAGAAGCATTTTATCTTTTTGTGTTAGTCGGTGCCCGGGTAGGGAGGGAAGGACGAAATGACAGCGGAACTTCATGTAAGTATAGGTAACTTCACTTTGCCAGATGTGGTTTTGTCTCCTCCCCTATAACTCCTTGGGTATAACTCTGGTGCATGCATTTAATAAATGCGCTCCGCGTTGCAGCGCCCTGTTCCAATAAAAGGACATCCTCAGTTTCCTGTGTTACTGCTTCTACTTAAATACATTTCCGGATATATCTTTGATAAAACTGATTCGCTATGAAATGTATCATTGCACATACGGAAAACGATCATTGAATGGTGCGTTAGAATGCCTAAATTCCTAAAAACGGTTTTATCAGAAACGACACATTTGCACTAACCAGATACGTTTACGATTTTTCAGCTAACAAAAATAATCATACGAACGTAAACATGCGTATAGTGCCTACGGAGCTACGTTACCTCCAGGCACAGCAGTCCATATCCACGGCACCAATTAATGATGGAAAATACCTCAGGAATAAAAACATTTCGCTCCCCTTCAATTCCTATGTGATGTTGGTCTATTCCGCGTTATGAACAATTCAGCGTCAGTTTCGGGGGATGGGATCCGTGAGTCTTAAGATCTAAGGAAGAGACAGCCCCTCCCCGCCCAGTGTACATTACCGCAACCCACATCACCCATTGCATGTGGTTAAACGGATTGTTCAGCATCTGGAGCGTGGACAATCGCCTGTTAAACCGATCAATTGCGCACCAACGTCATGCAAAGCAAGTTATTAAGAACTGATTTGTATTTTGCCACGTCTGTGGTGACCACAAACAACACGACACGATAGTAACTATCTAACAAACTGAAGTTATTTGCCATAGGCTACAGATACTTACGAATAAGATCTGTGAAAATTTGTTTTCGCGGCGACAATTACGACAAACCCGGTAGGTTACACTGCAGCAAACGCTCAAATTCTCAGCACTGAAGTATCGAAAGTTTGCCGAGCGGCTTCATAACGGCGTTAGTCTCCAGTACATAACGCCACAGGTCAATGGCTAAAACGAGTTGCTGCACCATGTAAATGGCGTAGGCTTCTTTCTTCAATAGAAATAAGCTACTACGGACAATTTTATTGTTTACCGATGGAGCAATTTTGCGTCCCATTTGGCTAAAGATAGTTGTGCGGTTGGACATGAACAACACCTGCACAATCAAAATAAGCCTTTCGCATAGCGACGATGAGACGTCCAACCCACAAACAAAGGTAGCACGCTACTTTGACTTTACTTTCAAATACAACTCCTGAACTTTAAAAGACAAGTTTTAGACGAGAGCTTTGCGTCTCGTTTCAGTCACGTCTATCAGCGATGAACGTTTATGTACAGGTAAGTGCTTAGCTTTTATGCTCCTTGTGGTCTCACAGGACGATTGCTTGATTTTTTGAATTTATTAGAAGAATTGAATCAATTGATTCATGCTCCTTGTGCTTTTACAGACTGTGCTGATTGAAAAATATAAAAAAACGTATGTTTGCAACTTGTAAATGCTTCCCTGCGTCATAGAAAAACATGCTTCTGAAAAATGTGACAATAACGTTTGCACAGCTGCTTAGAGTAACCTATCATAGCATTGCACAGACTTCAGTTTGTGTTGTCAATGTAGCATTCGCAATGGTGTCATCGATGGACGACAAAAGAACCACTGATAGCCTGTGTCAGTGCAACAAAGGGAAAACACACAATGCACGAGCTCACTTTCGTTGATTGCATGGAAGAAATCATCGGCAAAAAGTCGCACTCGTCCGCTCACTGCATGAGTCACGGCACGCTGCCGCAGCCGTGTTTTAATCGAGCTCACAATGACAGTGAATCTGCTCTTTCCGGGAAAGAACTCGGTATCTGTTCAACAAGACCTCGGTATGCCACCCAGAACAATATGTATTTATGAACAATAACGTACTTGCCGCGGCCAAACAGCGCGAAATGGGGTCAATCACAATGTTTACCGCGATCAAGTAAGTGGCATGACGGTCTGGTGTGCCGCAGGGGCTTCTGGTGCGTTTTTTCGTGAGAGTTTGAGCACCATGCCAGCTGACACCCGGCCTTTGTGTTCCGCACACAGGGCACCAGTAGGCTGACATGTCAGACAAGCAGCGGACCCGACCGCCGAAACTGGCGCACCGACATCCCCAGGTCGGCAGGCCGGGGTGCAGAGCCAGGGCGTCCCAATCCCACAATCCCACAACTACACAACACAAGGCGCAGGATTGGGTTGAAACTCCATGAAGTGTAGCTTGAGGAAACGATATTGGGTGGTGAAGACCGTTACCCCGGTATTTTTCTGAAATAACGAGGAATTGAAAGGTGCCAAAAAACGCTTTTTTAGTTAATTTACTAAGAAGAGGCTCAGACGTCGGTGGCTGTTTGAGAACTAGCCCATCAAGGTCCGATCGTACCCCCTTCCCCTACCGCGAGTGCCGGCGAGTTTCGCCGACAAATTGGCGCTCGTGGTGCGGAGGGACTGCTGTCGAATGAAGGCCACCATTCGCCGAACTATGTCTACTTATGGCAATATTCTTAGAAAAGGGCTTGCCTTTGTGCGGCCCGTTCACCTAGTCCGACATTAAACAACCACCTGTCATGCGATTGCCCACCTCCCGCAAGCTGGCAGTGCCGTTCACGGAAGGACACGAGGGGACGAAAACCGACCAGCGCCGGGTACATTCCATACGTATTCGCACGTGACTTCAGAGGCGTTCTTGGGCTTCCGGCAAAGATCACTCGTTATCAGACTGAGCTGGGTCGGACAGCCATGGCAATGTTCGGTGCCGATCTTGTTTCGATCATGTGTTTCCCTCCTTTTCTGACAGACTCTTCAGAATGCGTTTTGACATCTCAGCCCTACACGTCGACTGTAGCAGAAAAACTGAAATACAGCTGACTGAAAGTCTCCAACCCATTACCTGACAGCCGTTGGTCAAGCATGCTAACCCCTTCCCCTGAAGCTACGACGTCACTTTAGTTGACGTCTACGCGTTTACCACGGCCGCCTAGCGTAGCCAGGCGACACCCGAATCGCATGTGAGCTGGTAGTTGTACGACCGCATAAGTACCAGTGATCTGAAGAATGTGATGTAGCTGATCGACGTCACTGTCACCGGGAAACAGGGGCTCTCCCGTCACCATCTCCGCGAACAGACATCCGGCTGCCCAGACATCCACCTCCCTGCCGGCAGACAAGTCAGCGTCAACAGACACCCAGACATCCACCTCCCTGCCGGCAGACAGGTCAGCGTCAGCAGACACCCAGACATCTGGTCGCCCAGGCATCCGCCTCCCTGGCAGCAGACACCCGGGCATTTATTCCCTTGGCTACAGACTGATCACTGTCGATGGATGCCAATCCACAAACGATCTTAACACCTCACTCACAATGGGTGCTTGCTTCAATATACATCAATAATTGTCGCCTGATGAGCAGCTTGGCCAGTCTCAGTCCTGGTTCGGGACTGCCTTCCGGGAATAACTTACATATAGTGACATGCCCATTTGGATAATCATGAAATCAGAACGGGTGCTAATGGCATGGATACGCGTTTAGCCGCGTCTCTCAAATAAGTTGAACCACGCGAATCCCGTAGAAAGCCCTTCCCCGTGGACAGCAATACTTTACGATTTGGGTCAATATTTGCAGTCCCCGTTACATTTCCACTGAATGCGCTTTGTCCTCGTCAGCTTTTGTTGATATGTCGGTGTCCAAGGAAGCGAATACGAATCGATAAATCCACTCTGTTTGGCGGCGCCAGCTGTCAGTGTAGTTGATTCAGAGGTCTCAAACGCATTCTGCGCCGCACTGCACCGCAGGGGCTCATTACTCCATCTTTCCTTCACATGTTTGTGATGACGTCAAGGCAGATTTTTGACCATTGCTATCAGAACCTCCAACAAAGAGCAAGTAGGACGTGATGCAAGCGCGTGTGAACACGCACCATATGCACGCAAGCAAGGTTCGTTCCATGCGCCGATCAGTCCAAGGCATTATGGGTGCGGTCAGTCTGAGTAAACTGTTGGTGGCGTGGTTAACTTTTGTCTATTTCGAGTAAATTTTCAGTTACTGGTGGTGCGCTTGCCCTTCAATATGTGCGAAACACAGACGTATCGAGTTAAAACATACATTTGGACCCGCGGATAACAGGCCATAACCCCAAATTGTGCACGTAGTGGTGCACAGGGGAACGGCAACCAGGCGAGAATTAATTTATATTTGCTAGTGAAAGTACAGACCTTTGCCACGTTCTGATTACATACTTGCCATATGTGGTGTCGCCGACCAGGAGCTCGGGAGCGCGATACCATCTAGTGGCGACATAGTCAGTGCAGCTTTCGCCCGGACCCGCCAGGGGCCTGGCGAACCCAAAGTCGCACAATTTGACAACGCCGCTCCCGGAAACTAGGACATTTTCAGGCTTGATGTCTCTGTGAATGACCTGCGGGAAACAAAAGCCAGAAGTTAAAAGATAACAGTTGAAAAGGACAGAAGAAACGTAAATCGAGAAGTGTGAATATAACCAAACGACAAAACTGACATGTCTTAAGCACGCTTGCTGCATTCCGGGCTACTGGACCGCAAAAATTTGACCCCGGTTTCGTTTGGTATAAAAATTACCTTGGATAACCATTACAAACGTTCTGTTACGCGCAGCACACGGAATTGCTAGCGACAAGCCACTCCAGACGACCATCCCAACAGCATGTAATTTATTACGAGTGAGGTCGCAGATAAAGTGAGTTTAACATGAGCTATCAGATATTTTGTATCTTCAGCTGTTCCAGCTCCGCCCAGCCCCCTAGCCAGCCACGCTTTTGAAAGGCTTGAACTTTGCAACGGGTGAGAGTACCACCATGCAAGAAAAGGCTAATATTGCACTATCTAGGATCGTCCTCGAATACAACAAGCTATGGGATCCGAACCGAAAGGCTAAACCGACAGAGATTGCCCCACGAAACTTAAACGACACTCAGACAAATTTGCTACCACTCACATTTATCCAAGACGTTGAAATTTTTGCACCACTTTGAATAATATGGCTTAGAATAACATGATCTAGAATATGATCTATCAATATTGTTTAGAGTCATATGGTCTCACCGGTCTAAGCCAATTCCAAAGCTAACCATTTTTCAAACAATGTTTTGTTTGTCTGTGCGTGAGAGATAAACGCAAGTGCACTTCCACATACTACACACAGTCACAAGCAAGGGAAATATTATAATGCACTGCCAACCCCCGCAGTATGGACACCCGAGGGTGTCCATGCGGCTTCATCTGCTTATGTTTTGATACCCCCCGGTCATACCGTTTTAATGCCACAGCTGTTTGTCTCACCCATATGATAACAACTCACCTCTGCAATTCGGTCATCCTATCGCTGGTCCCACATTGCAGACGACGTCTTATTAGCCTTTTACGTTATTTAGTCATCCAAAAATAGCGCAAAACAGGGGAGGGCGCTGAGTAAGGCGTCATGCTGCGGCACCTCGTACGAGTAAAAGTCGTGTCGCTTGCGAATCATGATTACCGATGAGAATGCTATATGTAATTCCCCTCGAGCAAATAAATGGTTGACAGGCAACGCATATGTATTGCCGATATATATGTATACATCTAGGATAACTCTAGGGGATAATTGAGCGACCCGACCATGCACCAGTCTTTTGCAGAAGGCCATACTACTGATGCACTGATTGTGGTGTGAGACCAGACCACCCACACCCTGCCGGTGACGGAGAACAGACACACCCTGTCCGTGACAGAAGACCGGATTACTCACGCCCTGTCCGTGACAGAAGACCGGACTACTCATGCCTTGTCCGTGACAGAAGACCAGATTACTCACGCCCTGTCCGGACAGAAGACCGGATTACTCACGCCCTGTCCGGACAGAAGACCGGATTACTCACGCCCTGTCCATGACAGAAGACCAGATTACTCACGCCCTGTCCGTGACAGAAGACCGGATTACTCACGCCCTGTCCGTGACAGAAGAGCAGAGCCCGCAGCACCTGCAGCATGTAGCTGCGCACGCTAGCCTCCTCCAGGCCGCCGACCTCCCGCGCCTCCAGGAGGTGCAGCACCGTGTTCTCCACAAATTCGAACACCAGGCAGAGCCTCCGCTTCCGCCGGAACACCTCCAGCAGGTTGACCAGGTTCTCATGACGCAGGCGCTGCAAGCAGAGCCGGGCTACAGCGGCCTGTGACCAGCGGTCTGTAACCAGCGGCCTGTGACCCATGATGTTTAACTTTTGACCTGTGACCTACGGTCTGTGACCGGTGATCCTTAACCTTGAACCTGTGACCTATGACCTACGGCCTGTGACCCATGGTCTTCGACTTTTGACCTGTGACCTATGACCTGTGACATGCGGTCCTTAACCTTTGACCATTAACCTGCGACCTACGGCCCGTGACGCATGGCCTGTGGCCTATGACCTGTAGTCTATAACCTTTGATGTGACTTGTAGCCTGTGACCTGTGGCCAGCGACCTGTGGCATGCGACCTGCAGCTTGTGACCTGTGACCTGCCTCCCGTCTTCAGTGAACAGGGACATGTCCCAGTATGTTTGGATATGGGTTTGGTTGCATTAATTAACTGCGCCACAATAATTGTTTTCGTGACACAGATTCTGCGATACCACGACATGCTACGATATCAGCCTGGTGCATTCAAAACGGTACTGCGACCAGCAGCGATAACCCGTCGTGCTGAACGTATGTTGTCATGCAGCCAATGGAAGCGGAGTGATGAAATATAGCATGACATGCTGACAACGCCAATTCTGTTAAACATTTACACGAACATTCTGGATAAGTAGGGAATGCATCATTTACAAAGAGACATTGTTATAATCTGGCTTATCAATTATAATGCGATGCATTCCACCTTCGGTACGGTCAATCCACAAACAGCTCTTTCCTGATGTGCTTCGCATCCTCCGCCCACCTTCAGCATACGTATCTCGCGCATGGCCACCTTCCTGACGTGCGGATCGTCCTCTTCGCCCTCGAGGAAGCGTTTGATGGCCACCAGCCTGCCCGACTCGCGGTGGCGACACTTCAGCACCACCCCGTACGAGCCTTCGCCCACAATACCCAGCTGGTCGTACTTGTCCATCGCTGCTGTTGATTTGCCGCTGTTGCCGGCGAGCTCCTGTGGGGTAGGGGAGGGGGTAGTAATGGTATGCTGCGCTAAAGCCTAGCGCAGTGTCACGCTGTAAACATGATTAAGGCATGATCTCAAGCCTGAAGCCTCACGCACACCGGCTCCGTAACGGATACCGACCGCCGCAACTAAAAAATCTCGAGACAAATGTCTGCACAAAAGTCTCCAAGTGAAGTTAAAATCTGGCAGCCTCTGGATCATCGGGCCGCTTCCGTAACGGCTCCTCAAGGCTACGGAGCGAGCTGAAAGCTTCTAACTATTGATTACTGTATTGATTGCTAACCACTGAGTTCAAATGGCTTCGTCGCGGCTTTGAAAGTGTCAAGGCAGCGAAATCTGTGCTTTGTTATGTAACTATGGACGGGGAAGGTTTGCTGCTCCTGGGGTACTTGGGAAGCGGAGGAGGAAAGCAGCGGGAGAAGAACATGGGTGCGAGAGCCATTGTTACGTCTTGTCCCGCGGCTTTCCTCCTCCGCTTCCAAATACATCTGGACAAGCTAACCCCCCTCGTTCATAGATCACACAAAACAGCCAGCAGGTTTTATTTTCCTCGCACGTCGAAAGCCACGACACAACAACATGGTATCATGTACCGCATGGCAACATGGCAATCTCCATGCGGTCTCCCCACAAAGCATTGCCTATTTGGCTACGCTTTGGCTAAGACCAGACACACTTCAGGCTTAACTTGATTGGATAAAAAATAACAGTACGGAAATAACAAAGCCAGCAAAATTGGAAGAGGCAATGTGAAAGTCAAGAGCTAACTGAATGCCACTGCTCGTTCAGCCTGCAGTGCTCTGACTAAACAGAACACTAATCTGAACGGTGTTCGCCGCGTTTCTGCTCCTTGCCCTTAACCAGAACACGAGCGATGGAATCGTGGCAGAAATGACAATGGTTCTGCTCATTCACGTACGCGCGTTTGAACTTGAAATGCGCGCCGTGAGTATGGCGCATCTGCGGCGTACGATGCGCGTTCCGGCATGAACTTCACAGTTCGCGCCCTATCCGCACTGTCACGGGGGCACCGAGGGGCCATCAACGCTTCTGCGCATGCGCAATTTTAGCCTCCTCGCTTCATTGCGGACACGCTCATTCTGCAGGCGTTGCGAATTCGTTACGGTCTGGGTGTTAACCGGGCTTAAGTGAAATGGTCATGACAGTCAAGGTCTATGTTTTCAGAACCACCTGATAATTTCGCAAGCGTGCTCGCTCTCATATGGATATCCTGAGCGGCATGGTTCCTAAGCGCGAGGACCGAAATTCAAACCTCGAGGATGACGTCCCGCTTTTGACCGAGTAAACGTGGTCTTAGTTCCCCGTTCCACAAGACTAGATTATCTTCGTCGTCGTGCTGTTACAGTGGTATCAGATCTTGCTCAATCTTCCACCACGGTCTGCGGTGTGACGACGTTAGCGTGTGCATGCATGCGTCGATTAATAGTGAAGAATCCTAATTAACAATTTTCATCGCGACAAAGGAGGTAATCGTAAGCCAAGGCGCCAAAAGTCATGGGCTCATTTTCTACTACTGCATCAGGCAACCTCGTTAACAAAGCATTTGGTTCGATTCGGTAAAGGCTTAACGTTGGCCCTCCAAGGTTTACTCGAAACGGCATCCACACCAAACGTCACGCAGGCTTCTCCGTACACACAACTGATATAATCATACCGAGATTAACTGTGCAAAGTTCGGTTCACTATATTCGCCGCAGGCTCAATCCCAGGTTTGCTGTGCACAGCAGTATTCCCTTTAAAAAAACAACGTATACTTTTTAAATGGATCCGCGCGGTCACGAAATCAATCACTGTGCGCAAAAGCACTAAGTGACGTACTGGACACTGCGTGATCTTCTAGTAAAAAAAGCACTTATGAACCAGGGGCACAGTAGGCATCGGCTAGCAGAGCGGGGGACACTTGGCAGGGTGAGATTCATGGGGCATGGCAGGGTGCACTGAACGCGGCGGCGCTCACTGGGTCCAGCAGTGCACTTGGCAGATAGCCAGTATGTACATGCTCCAAAAAATAAGCTACTGGACGACAGTCTGGGTTCGCTGGATACCTTCCAGCTCAGGGGAACGTTCTACATTTGAAGATCTTGAAGCAAGCATCATATGTGGCAAAATGAGCTCATTTATAACTATTGGTATACTTTTAAAACATAAACGCTGCTCTAAACTATGCTCCTCAGTACGTTATTGTTTAATTGCGCTATCGTACCTTGCTCAACATCGATCGAAGGCCAATTGACGGCCGTTATATCTGGAAACGTGCTCAAAAACGCCAGATATGAGCGACACGACAATCATGCTTTTTCTTGGCCTTGGTCGCCACATGGTCAGTAGAATGACAATATCTGAATGACATTATTGTGGGGTAATGGATACCTAGGTGACCTCAAAATAGTCTACCCGAAATAGTCTGCACTTCTTCGCAGACGTGATGCAAAACAACTGAAAAGGGTTTGGTTGTAAGGACAGGGTTGTGAACGGGACAGAATTATATTCAAGATGGCTATTTCGGTTCAAAGCCCCATACAAATGTGGAACACTCCCTCCAGCTGCGTGCAAATACACTGACCAGGAATTGATACAGACAGCAGGGTTCACTGCACAGAACAAGTCCTACTGGACACAGCACTGGATGCAACAGGTTCTGTTGAAGATCGCACATGTCCCATGCGCCTCATACGTCACCGGATACGCAGTGCGTTCCACCTGCCACGCGGCACACACCCTCGGCACGCGCCGTCGGCTCTGCCGGACCGCTCGCACTAGCTGCGGGCCGACTTTTCGACCGTGCCCTCCCTCCTTCCCCCTGCACTGACGTGTCGCCATTGATCGGGAGCAGCAGGTGCGCCGGCATTAGACGTCTGCACGACACCCGGTCATCAGGTCATGGCTGACACGTCCCTGGGTCAAGGTCGCACGTAGCAGGTCAAGGTGATACTCGATAGGTCAAGGTCGCACACCGTGGGTCAAGGCCACGCGCATTGGGGTTAAGTCATGTGCCGTGGTTCGAAGTCATAATCGGTGGGGCAAGACTGCACGCGGTGGGTCAAGGTCAGGTGCTGTTGGTCAAGCCCATTTGCGGGGGTCAAGTCGGCATACGGTGGGTTAAACGGATGAAAACGGTGAAGTCACGGTTATTGACGTTTGATCACACGCACTTTGAACCTGCCATCGCGTACATCCCCAACTTGCATTGGCAAGGCGAGAACTCGGAGGGGAATTCAATGCTCCCGGGTATCACACGAGGGTGCACTGTAGACAAGAACTTACGCCATCTTTATGTGTGCAGAAGGGAAGCTGATGCGGTCTACGACTGACAAAAATTATTACACCTATTCTGAACACCCATGCCAGGGTTTCTTACGTAATACCGAATCACGCCAGAAAACCTATCAGTGTGTGTATACGTCCAGTGCCTGTCTAAACACTGTGTTCAGCATACTTGTTCATTGACCATGGCGAACTAACTGCATAGCAGGATCATGGATCCACATTGATTTTTTGCGTACATGATATCCGTAAAGGGAACTTCTTTACAACGGACGTTCCTGTGTACTATATGCGCAGGCGAATTCAATAACATGGGACATGATGTTTTCTCATGTTCTATAGAACAATAAAACAACAATACACTGTGAGTCATCACTTCTAGTTATGCAGCCTCAACGATTCCAACGTGACAATCTGCTGTCCGTATCTCTCAGGTGATTTTTGATTGCATTGCCGGCAGACGCCACTGAATAGGTAGGATACACCTATGCGCCCCGGGTAGTCACTCACACTGCGTGCGATTAACACGCGCTCGGGTGGGGGTCAATTTAACCCGCAAAGGTTTTCTGGAATGGTTTCCGAACGGCGCGGCGTAGCCACGCCAAATTTTACCTAGCTGTAGACGATTGAATGCCAGATTGTCTGGCATCAAAATTTTGATGTACCGTGCAAGGTTGCTGACCTACGGCATGTCAAAGTCAGACCACTGGTTCAGCGAAGTCAGCTGCTAAGAATCCATTCAACCTGATGCAACAAAGGAGTGTTAGACGAAGCCATACATCTCTGGGATACTTTCTTAGGCAGCACAATGGCTGAATGAATGAATTCCACTGACAAAGTGTCAGGTATTAAGGTCAGACCACGGTCAAAACCAGCCTGTATTATTACTCTAGGGCTTGCTGTATATTCTGGTGCTCGTTTCGAATTTATTGGTGACACAAGCCACATTATACATCTTTCATGGATTTCTCAGAGTTCAAAATAGCTCACTGGCCTAAATGACACAGGCAATCTCTTTGTTTCTAGGAATATGCTGCCTAGTGTAATCTTTGTCGCTTGTTCAAATGCAAAACTAAAGACAGTCTTTCATAATGTTGGTCCCAATGACCTTCGAAAGTTAAAACAAGGTCACTGATCTTAAATGAGCATATGACCTTTTGCTTTAGAGCAGGTATTTAGGTGCTGGGGCACTTTGAAACCAACCTGGAGTTTAACCTTGTTTAACCTTTTTTGACCCGAAATTCATGACCAATGAGCCTTAAACTTTGAACGCAGTGAATTCATGTACAGGCCAACACGCCCTATGACTTCGGTGTCTCCAGCTCTGTTAGTTTCTGAGATCGCATGGTGGAGTCAAATTGACCCCCACCCGCGCGAAGAGTATCCAACCGGCCACCCGGGAGAGTATTGATCTATGAGCCACGTGCGGTGTGATTGTACGGTGGAGGCTTGGACTGTCGTTTCCGGTGCCTGGAAGGAATTCTGTTTTCTCGTCAGACTGCAAAACCATCGAAATAGATCAACAGTGGCCTGCTGTGTATCGCGTTAAAGTCATCTGCTTCATGACTGGCATGCTTTGGAGCTGACTAGGCTAGTGGTACTCACTGGCCAATCCAACATTAAGATATTTCTGCCAATCAGACTAAGCCGCGGCCGATTGCTGTCGATGA